AGGGACAGAAAGAAGTAGGGCTGCCAACTACACAGTGAAGTAGAATCAGGGAATTCTGAATCAGTCAGGGTAATATTCCTTATCCACCTTACACATTTTTCTACAACATAAGAAAATGCCTATGAGACCTCTTAAATTATTTCACATTTTCCTTCAGGTGTCTCTAAGAAACTCCAGTGATCAGATTTTGAACAATGATTTTTCTAAAATAATTTATTGGGACCTTCCTTGGAGTTTTTTTGGTTGCTGTTGTCATTGAAACTTACTTCATTTACTTCCAACATATTGTTAGTAAAGTCAACCAATATCTTAGGCTTAATACACACTGCACATAAATTTTAATATAAAATTATTACATCTTGTTTATAAAATTGTCTCAGATACTACCCACTCACATGTGATATGATATGAACTGAAAGGCATTAGATAGGAAGAATAGAATTCAGAAATCAATGCAAAGGAAATTCACATAAGAAAAGGCTGCAAAGGTACCTAAAGAACATGAGTGTCAGAAACATGTCAACAGGTCATGGTTCAAATTAAAGAATGTTCATCTAATAACTAAGTTATTAATAAGCATAGAAAAAGACCTACTAAAACATAGACATTACTTTTAGATTTAATGAAATCAGTTTAATTCAAATACATATAAAAATTCAAACTGTAATCACCTATGTTTATATACATACCAATGTTATCACAAACTGTATAAACTCTATTAAGTTTATGTCAAGATAAATATGTGGAGCACGTACTTTGGTTCACAAAATGTGGGCATAAACTCATCTGCAGAAACTTTTTCTGGGATTTAACAGAGTTCTAATCACCCTCACCAAATGCACTTTGATTACAACACAAAACTGCTTTTGAAACCCCTCTCTCATTGGCTGAGACAGGCATCTGCTGCAGGAGATTCACTATTAACCATGGCCTGGACTAATTTGGAAGATTAAATACATGTTCTTTTTTAACACAAGTACAGTTTTTCTTAATTCTAATTTTCTTTAAATAAAAATATATACTATTGTAAATATCAGGTTACTAAAAGTACTACTAGTTACAATGTCACTAAACATACCAGGATTTTTGTTCAGTATAGATTCATACATATTAACTATTGTTGTGGAATAGAATATTTGTTTAACTATATAAAGTTGTGTTGCATTTGTTTGTGCTTCAGAATATTTGTTTAACTATATAAAATTGTGTTACTTTTGTTTATGCTGTGTTTATTTAACTATGTAAAGAGGTGTTGCTGCTTCACCTTGTTTGCCTAAAGCACATGATTGGCCTAATAAATAGCTGCACAGCCAATAGTTAGGGATAGGCAGGGCTGATGGGCAGAGAAAGGGGGGAGGCAGCCTGCCAGCTGGGTGCCAGCCAGTCAGATATGGAGGAAGCAGGAAAGCAGGATGGACAGTATGTAGATGGGGTGAAGAAGCCTCAGGCCACACATAGATTAATATAAATGTGTTAATTTAAGTTTTAAAAAAGCTAGGCAGAAATGAGCCTAAGCTAAGGTCAAGCATTCATAGTTAATAATGAGTCTCCACATTCTTAATTGTTAATAAATCTCTGTGTCATGATCCAAGAAACCCTGCTACAAACTATCATCAAATAAATCAAACATTTCCTATCTTTTACACTACTCTGTAAAGGTGGTCCTGTAAAACACACACACACACACACACACAGAGAGAGAGAGAGAGAGAGAGGAGCTGTCTTGCAGATGAAATCACTTTAGTGTTTTCCATTGTCACTTACGTATCATTGTTCCTCCAAGCATAGAAATCACCTCATTGCCATGGCTAATTCATTTTTTAGTCATAGCCTTTGACAAACAGACCTTCGTTAATATGATTCACCCACACATCAGAATCAGCTCATCCACACAAACCATGACACAAAGACCCAGATGCCCATGAAATGGCACTCCTTAAAAGTATTGCCTGCATCCTCCAAGCAGATCCACCTCCTCAGCCCCTCCCATTTTTATCACCTACTTTGTTTTCAAATAATTAGTCTTGCTTAGGAAAACTGGTTATGCATAAGCTGTAAGGAGCATTATGTTTTATGTACCCAAAAAATCAAATATGTTCATTATGAAGTCAGATAACATTTTCCACACAGAATTTTAGAGAGTGTATTCTAATTGACCTTCAAAATGGATCCATTTACAAAAGTCAACTCTCTTATTCACTTTTCACCACTTTAACTTTAAAGATAAAATAAAATTTTGGTGCCTTATATATCTTAGTATTTTCTAAGCAAGCCTGACACTCATGTTTAAATAACGCTAAAGCTTGCTATCTTCCTCTCTCCTTTCACAACCACTGACAACTCCAGTTCTGAGGATCTGACACCCTATTCTGACCTCCACAGGCATTGCCCACATACATACATCCAATAAACCCATACATAATAATAATGTCTTTTAAAAAGCCAAAAATTAAACAATTATTTACCTGTGTATGGCTTGTGCTAGCTTCCACTACCCATTTCTATTAGAAATCTGTTTCATTGTCCTACTCCTTCACTTGGAAGCCATTTGTGTTAAGAGTTCCATGCTGAACTATGTCACCCAACACTTATCACTTCAGGGTTCAATCATTTTAGAGGACAGTCTAGGACTTTTCCAAACCAGTCTTCTTTAGGGATGATCTGTAGCCTAGACTACCAAAGCAATATTTTTCCAAACAGATGTTATAAGAACAAAAACTCACTTGTTCTTGTAACATATGTTTCTTATGACATTCTCTCTTTTCCCAATTCTTTTAAATTTCCTTCACTAGTTTATTCCTCCATGTCTTGCTTTATTCATTTCTAAACATTTCCTACAAATGCCTCCCCAAGTCATTTCTTTTCCTATAAAGTCACTCAAAGGCTTTTGTAAAACAAAATAACAAAAAATCAAGATGGGTGTAACAGGCATACTGGTGAGACAAGCATTTTTTTTTTTACAAATTTGTGAAAATTATCCAACACGATACCTTTATATTGGCTTGGAGACTAACTCACCTAACATGATGCCATAAGCTACCCCTGAGTCTCCATTACACAGCTCCACTAGAACCTGTAAGAATTCACTTGTTCTCCACAGTTCAAACAAGCATTCCTGAATACTACTCCTAACTAGCCCGGGAATTGTCATCCTTTATATTCCTCTTATATTCCTTTCTGCTGGAACTATCAGGGTTGACAAATCACATGGATAAAGAACCACTTTATCCTTCAGTCAGAATATTTGTGTAATATTATTCAGAACATTTTTAATTCTATTATTTAGGATACTTATTCATACTAACAGTTAATGATTGCACAAACTAATGAGGTTTAGTGTGGCATTTGCATACATGCATTTATAGCACACACAGAAGAAATCCAGCCCTCCTTTCTTCTGCTCCTATCCTCCAATACCTGGTAAACACTATTCTTTCTAATTGACTGTAGTTTCCACCTATGATAGAGAACATACAATAATAATCTCTCCATATCTGCATTATTTTTATGTCTTTTGTTTCCATACATTTTACAGTAAGTAACAGGATTTCATTATTCTTTGTGGCTAAATAGTGCATGGTGAATATGCATATACCATATTCTCACTATCCACTCATCTGCTGATGGACTAATGAACTGATTTCATATCTTAGCTACTGAGAATAACACCATAAATAAACATGGCCAGGCAGATTCCTCCTTGAATGTTTCAATTACTTTGCATGTATCCCAAGAAATGGCCAGAAGTGGATTGTGTGGTAGCTCTCTTTTCAGTATGTTGACGAATCATGGCGCATTACTTTGTAATGGTTGTTCTAACTTTGAAATGCCCATTTCTCCACATGCTCACCAGCATTTCTCTCTGTCTGTTATTCTCTTTATAATGCTGAGGATTGAGTCTAGGTCCTTACACACACACACACACACACACACACACACACACACACACCATATATATGCTAACAAGATATATACATATCACACATGTCACCTATGAACGTTTATTATGCAATAACTTTAATTTCTATTCCCCTGTTAGTTGCTGGTTTGGGTTATTTTTTCACACACTTGTTGGCCATTTGTACTTGTTCTTTTGAGAAATATCTATTCAGATCATGAGAAATATCTATTCAGATCAATTTCCCAGTTTACTAAGTGGGTAATTATTAAAATCTAGTTCTCTTATCATATATTAACCATACCAGATTGACTGGGTCTTTTCTATATGAGAAACAGCCAATATCATGTCAACATCTATTTTCTTTTTTTTTTTTTTAATTTATTTATTAGTTCTAGTTAGGGAACAAAATCCTCCTGTGCTGGTCCTGGGCCCTTCCCCATGTGTCCAGGGTCAGAGTGTACACCTTCACGTGGGATGGGCTTTCAAAGTCCCTTCTTGCACCAGGGAAAAATACTAATCCACCATCAGAGGCTCCCTGGAGTGCAGAGGCCTCCTTATTGACATCCATGTTCAGGGGTCTGGATCAGTCTTGTACTGGCCTCCCCGCATGTCAACATCTATTTAAGAGAAACTAATCCTGACTCTGTTTTGTCAACAAAAGTTGGCCTTTTTTAATGAATGAAAAAACATTATGCTCCAACTACTTTTATTTTAATTTCTATCTTCACAATTGAAACCTTGGGGAAAGATTTTTCTAATCTATTTATAAATTGTATACATTACAAATGAGTTCTAAACGCAGAGAAAAAAATAGTAAATACCTGTTAAATGTATCTCCCCTCTTAATTACTTTGTAAAAACATATACTTGGCCCCAGAAACATTGAAGTTTAATAAGACCTTTTCATGAAATCTTTGCAAAATTGCTAACATAATAAAGAAATCAACCATGAACTTTCCCCCCAATGGGTCTTTGTACATTTCCACCTTTTTTAACCTTTAATGACAAAATATAAAATTAAATTAAACTATGCTACTCAGACTCTCACTGTTCTGACAAATATGCGACAAAACACCCACTTAAAGCAGGAAGCATTTACCTTAGTTCACAGGGTCAGAGGTTTGTTTATTGTTTTGAACCTAAGGCAAGGCTAAGCACCATGGACAAGAGCATGCCGTTATGTAGAACAGCTGGAACAGTTCATCCCCTGGTGGATAGGAAATGGCAATAGACAGGAAAAATCTAGAAACAAGTACATCCTTCAAAGGCACCCCACAGCAACCTCCTTCCTCCAACTGGCCCCACCTCCTAACACTTTCACCACTTCTAATAGCCTACCAACTATAACTCTAATAACTAATGTGTTGATAAAGTCAGAGTCCTCATGACACACCCACCATTTGATAGAGCCACCAGGTGAGGAGCAAGCCTTCCTCACATGAGCCTTCAAGTCACTTCATATCCAAATCACAATAGCAACTATGAAAAGAAATATCGGACTTTATATCATTCTTCAAAAATTAATTAAACCAAGATTTAAGAAGAATGCAACTAAGAATATTCGCCACACAAGTCAAAATGTAGTTATTAATATACAAATGCTGTATACCGTGTGCCATTTCTATACTGAAGTCCGTAAGGATATTTTTGGAGACAACTTTTTCTTTCCTGTTGAATGCTAGTGACATGAATTAGGAGAGGCTTATTTTAGCTCAACTTAAAGAATACCTTGAAACAGAGAGTCTATTTGGAAGCAAAGGGATGGCATCTAAACTGACAATTACATTGGCATAAGGTAATTACCATCTACTTGATCTCCAGTTTTAAATAAAATCTGGATTCGGCGAGCATTTTTGTTGGTGGCTGGTGTTAAAAGGGCTATACACAAGAAAAACTGCCGTACTCAATTTATACGTGGAAAATTCCACCATAAACAATGGAATGAATATACATGATTGAGAACTAACCTGAAGCTTGAAGAAAAAAATAAGACTACTATAGAGGTTACTTTTCTGGGCTGTGACTAAACACATGCCAAGCCAGGCAGGCCCAGAGTCTCTCTATGGACTGTGCTGTCTATGGGTCCATATGTAGAACTCTCATGATAACATTGCAATAAATGCTATATAAATAACAAATGAAGTAGATAACAAAACGTGGTAATGCTTCCTGATAATAAGCCATCTAGTTATTGTAAGAATTTATATTAGTTTTCAATAATTTTTCATACTTAATTTTTACTAAAAATTTACCACGTGTGCAATCATGTCATTAAAATTATAAACTCTACCATTATGGAAATATATCTGTTGACCTTTTAAAGCAATGCTGGGTCTGGAAAGATGTCTCAGCAGTGAACAGTGCTTGCTGCTTCCCCAGAGGACCTGAGACTTGTCTCCAGGAACCAAGTTCCATGACTCACACTCCAGCTCCAAGGGATATGCCACCCTCTTCTGGCCTACACAAGCACTGTGCTCACATGGATAAACCCACATTCAGACATACACATACACAAATAATAACACTTAAAGCACTGATAATTAGTTAAATGTCATCATAAAATTTGTTACGTGTTCTTGTTTGAGCACTTGAGTCCCATATCAAAGAATGCTGGGGGCGGGCGGGAGTATGAGGAAGGGGAACAGGACTTGAAGAGAATTACACTCTACAACTTACTTGTGAAAACCATGTAAATATATGTATATTCATTAGACATATTAAATGAGCCTTGGTAATCAGAACACGAAATGAGTGCTTTATAATTCTTGTTGTTCAAGTGAACAGTATGCTCTGTAAGAAAAAGTAAGGGGTGAGGATGCAGCTCAAAGAGCGCTTGTACGACGTCCTTGCTTCAATTCCCACTACTGAATAAATGGGGCATGGTGACACATACCTGTGATTCTAGCAGTCAGCTTGAGGAATCAGGAAGAGAAGACGCTCTGGTCATCCTTGGCTCCATAAAAAGTTTTCAGCCAGCCTGGGATACATGGGAGCCCGTTTCAAGAACAACACCAAAAAGGAAATTGAGTAACACTAAGTTTTGGGACAAAAAAAAAAAACAGAACTAAAAAACAAACACTTCAAATCCACATAATGCAACCCCAGTATAAAAATATTATTTTAAAGAAACTTCAGCAGATTAAAACTGCTCAAAAATATGATATGTATACCCGGTTTTGTGGGATTTAGAATAAACTACTTAGTTTCAAGAACCCATTTACATGTATTTTCAATATGTATGGTGCACATATATTATATTTCAGACTGCTGGCCCATTTCATTCTGAAGTTTCACACACACACACAAATGCCTAAAAACTATTAACAAGCATTCAGCTCTAGTTTCAAAGGTTTCATTGTACAGGTAAACACTGCCCTCTTCTGGCAATTGTAAATATTTGTGTATCTACACAAAATTTTTTATAGCTTATTATTGCACATCTGTAAACAAATTATGTCCTTAGCCCGAATCTTGCCCCCAGCCAAAATCCTCACAATAATAAAGAAATTTATTGGCATGTTTCAAACAACTCTGTTTTAAAAGGACACTAAGGTAAGCAGTCTAAACTCTACAATAAATCTGCCCCTAACTAGATACTGGTTCTTGGACTAACTCTGTAACTACCCTAGATCTTAGTTCCTATCTATAAGATTACTTAACTAAGTCACTAATGGAGTTCTTCGGCCTTCATGTGCTTCTAGATTTAGAAAAATATCAAATAATTGTTTTTAATACCCTAATATAAAATATAGGCCTACTTATGACATATCTCCATATTTATTTGTTTTATTAATAAGAGAATGACTGTTTATTGTTTGGATTCGCTTTATCAAAAAAGACTCAATTTTTACTCCTCCCCATTCAAACATCCTTTCCCTAAACAATACACAGCAAGAGTTCACTGAATTATGAGGAAAAGTAAACTCAGTCTAAGAAGTTTCAAAGAAACATTTTATAGTATTGCTTTTGGTAAGGGGAGGAGTGTTAAATCAAGTGCTCGAAAGTTAACAGTTAAGAAATCAACTTTCAAAGATTCCAGAATCTTAAATGTTGCTGTGATTAAGTAATTAGAAAAATCCACCATTTGGGAGTACAGGGCATTGTACCTCAGCTTTACCCATGCCCGTTTCATTCGTCTTCCTCATCTGTCATCAACTCTTGCTCCACAGTTTCGCTCTCTGATGTAACCCTTATTCCATCTCTCTGGCAACTATTTAATTCAGGCTTCTTAAACATTCGTATTATAATATCTGTAGTAGTCGATTGGTTTCAAAGTGTGATCTGTGTACCAGCATTAGAAACATTTGGGACACTTGGAAGACGTGCCATCTCCTGGACCCCGTACACTGTTCAACATAAAAACAGTAACATGGGGCTGGAGAGATGCCTCAGCGGTTAAGAGCAGACTGTTTTCCAGAGATTCAATTCGCAGCAACCACATGGTGCCTCACAACCACATTGAAGGAGATCTGGTGCCCTCTGCTGGCCCGCAGGCACAAGACTGTATACATAATAAATAAAATCTTTAAAAAAAAGTTTAAAAAAAAAAAAAAAAAAAACAGTAACATGAAGCCCATGTGTAACTTTACATGCTCTGGTACAGGCTTTAAATACTCAAAAAGGAAGAGCGTTTGACCAAAGAACTTGAAAGCAAGCTATTTTAATTACAAAGAAAGGGATTCTTGTATGCGTGTGTGTGTGTGTGTGTGTGTGTGTGTGTGTGTGTGTGTTGCATGCATTCTCGTGCGTGTGTGTGTGTGTTTACTGTGTGTGTGTGTTTTGAAGGGATTCTCGTGTGTGTGTGTGTGTGTGTGTGTGTGTGTGTGTGTGTGTCTCGCGTGTGTGTGTGTGTTTCTCGTGTGTGTGTGTTTACTGTGTGTGTGTGTGTGATTCTCGTGTGTGTGTGTGTGTGTGATTCTCGTGTGTGTGTGTTTACTGTGTGTGTGAGTGTGTGTTTACTGTGTGTGTGTGATTCTCGTGTGTGTATGTGTGTGTGTGTGTGTTTCTCGTGTGTGTGTGTTTACTGTGTGTGTGTGTGTGATTCTCGTGTGTGTGTGTGTGTGTGATTCTCGTGTGTGTGTGTGTGTGTGTGTGTGTGTGTGTGTGTGTGTGTGTGTGTGTGTAAAGGGCTCCTCTAGAAACTTTTAACAAGTAGGCATAGGAATGAAGGCACACACCTTACTGGCTTTACTGGCTGAGCCTTCTCTTGTACCCAGTCCCTATTCTGATATTTCTCCAGAAAATTCGCGTTCCCACACAAAACACAGGCTCTCCCAAACTGCAAACTATCCACGAAGCTGAGACTACTTCGGGGATATTCGGACCTGGACTTAGCCGGCGAGCCTTCCCTCCGTCACCCTGGGGCTCTTCCTGGACACCCCGTCACCCTGGGGCTCTTCCTGGACACCCGACCAGAGGCCCCACCCACAGCGACCCTCCCGGGCGGGAAGCCGGAGAGCGCGGAGCCAGGCCCACTCTGCGCCTGCGCAAGCAGCGAGGGCGGAGCCAGGGCCGGATACAAGTGGCTCTGGGCGGAACTTAGGGGCCGCTCTCTGGTCCTCGAGGGACTGCGTTCACAGCGGAAGCGGCGCTTCTGGACGGAATCTTGAGAGCAGACCGTCCTTAGAGGGTTCAGTTATGGGGGAGGGACTTAGGGCGGAAACCGGAAGTATGGGGCGGGCTTAGGGAGAAATGAGGCGTTTATAGGACGGGGCCGGGGCCGGAAACCGGCGGTGTAGGTGGGGCTTGCGGGACATTGCGCTTGCGCACGGAGCGCCCCGCGGGCTGCGTAGTTATTTTTGAACCGGGTGGCGGGGAATAGCTGAAGGAGCTGAGCCGGGAGGGCGCGGTGTGCGGTGAGGCTGACAGCGGTCTCCGTTAGATCGAGTGATGGCGCAGCAGCTCGCCCGAGAGCAAGGCATCACCCTGCGCGGGAGCGCGGAGATCGTGGCCGAGTTTTTTTGTGAGTTTTGAATGCGGCCGGAGAGCGGCCTGGCCGGGACCTAGGACGCGCTAGGGCGGAACCACCGCCCGGTCTCCTGCTCGTTCGTGCCGTGGCGGAGAACGGAGGGGCCTTCCCTGGGGCATCGTGCCATTCGCGCTTTGAAAGCCGGGGTCTGTGTTGACATCCGCTCAGCACATGTGTATTTGCACTTAGACTGCGGTGTCGTGAGAGTTGGCATTGCTGGGTTGAAGGTTTTCCGGTGTCGTTTTGTGTCAGCTCTGCTTTCTGGAAGACTTGGAAACGTGAGTAGGTGTTCACTGCTCGATTCCTTTCGTTTTCAGCGTTTGGCGTCAACAGCATTTTGTATCAGCGTGGCATATACCCGTCGGAAACCTTTACTCGAGTGCAGAAATACGGACTCACCTTGCTTGTAACTACTGACCCCGAGCTCATAAAGTATCTCAATAATGTGGTCGAACAGCTGAAAGGTAATCACGTTTTGAGTTTTACCTCTGACAGGGTTACGTTTACGAGGGTGGCTTAAAGCAATATGCCTTCTCAAATACAGCGCTTCTGGACTGGGAGGGAGGAAGTAATGGAGGGAAATCCCATCCTTTCTCCCACTGCTTTTAAGTAGCCTGAGTGTATTGATGTTAGGCGTCTCGGAGTCGGAAGTGTCTTATCAGCTGCTTTAGGAATGCATTTTGCGGTTTAAACAGGTACAACGAGTTGATGGTTTTACACGAGATGATTTTGCTCTTCTTAGACACCCATTGATATGCTGCAGTTGTTGTAACCAGGGTATTACTAAATAACAATATACAGGAAAGTTCCGGTTTTACTTTTCAACTATTCTCTTTATCTTCCTTAAAAGCGGTGGCTGTAATTCAGTATCTGGACAGTTTATTTATTCATTCGTAGCTCAGTGTTGTGCTGCCTGTTTGGCCAATACTTATTCCCACCTATTTCTATTCCTTCTGGAATCCTTGTTCCTCGTGTTGCACACCACTTAGGATTGCCATTCTAATTATAATAATCTTTTCTGTGTTTAGCCTTGTATCTCCCAACAAAGTCTTATAAAAACCAATTCCAAAAGCATTACAGCTGTCTTTTTTCTCTCTAGTTTTTCATGTGTTTGGGTGTTTTTCCTGGGTTATGTCTGTATGTACCAGGTGCATGCCTGGTTCCTTAAAAGACCCGAAGAAGGTGTCAATTCTTAGGAAGAGCACCACTGCTCCTAAGAAATTTTTTTTTGCAAAGATGTTTTAGTTTGTTTCTATTGTAGTTTCATTACAGTGTTCATTGCATTTTTTTTTTGTTGTTGTTAACTTTAGCATTAAAATGACCTTCTTTTGGTGACCAGCTGAACATAGACATCTCTTTAAGGCCATATTTTTTTTGTTTTGTTTTACTTTTGAGGCAGGGTCTCTCAAAAGCTCTTGACTATCCTGAAATTCGATAACCTTGAAGCCCTGTAGATAAAGTTGCTCTTGGTTGAGAACTTCTTTGATAGATTAGACAGCTAGAATAGGAAAGGTGAAGTACTTGATAAATATGTGGAGATAGATTTCTATTCTCAAGTGCAAGCAAGATACGTATACGCTGAGAGGAGCAGCCCATCTCTCATTATTTTCCCAGATTGTGGGTCAGGGTGGAATCATGTATGGTCATTGGATGTCACTCATACTTGACCTGGAACTGCTAGATAGCTATTGCTAGGTGTCATCACCATCATCATCATCCTGGTTCAATAGAGAATCCAGCCTTAACTGATACTGGGGTTACAGGTTGTCACTGGTGACATTGTACCTCATCTACATTTTTGTTGTCACTCACTTCTCCTGTCCTAGTTAAAACACAGGAATTGCTCTTTATGAATAGGCAAATTGTTCTCTTTCTTTTCAGTCCCATTTCCTCTAGCCTTTTTAGAAGCATTTTACTTCTTTCTTTCTTTCTTTCTTTTCTTTCTTGTATTTTCTGTTTCTCTGTTATGATTTCCATTCTTCCTGTTGGTTTCATCTCCCTCCAACTTTAATCTTACAAAAGAAAAATGATGTATACTGAGTTGCTATCCCAATTTCAGTATTAACTCAGGGTTCTATCTGAGATCCTCTTTATAATTGCTAGATTATCTGTGCCATTCACAACTTCACTACCAACTTTTATGTGATTAAGCTAACCCTCTACTCCAGACTCATAAACAACGTGACATCTCTGTATGCTTTATACTCTGCAGAATAAAAACTAAATGTAGGATGATCTCGAGAATTGTTCATTAGTTACTAGGTTAACAGTCCAACGAGAAATGAAGTCTGAAACCTGAAAGCTACCTCAAAATGATTCTTTTTGGTTTTTCTAGACAGGGTTTCTCTGTGTAGCTTTGGAGCCTATCCTGGCACTCGTTCTGGAGACCAGGCTGGCCTCGAATCAAAATGATTCTTATTGAAAGCTAATCAGATAATCTTAACAGTTTTAAGCATGAAATTGCTTTGTTCCCTCTCTACCGGTTTATGCTATGAACTTTGAATCCTAGTGTCTGTAGACCCTCTTTTTACCCCCTCCAGCTAACTTACTACCAAGTATGATAGTTTGGAAACACAAGTTTAATTGTTCACTCTGCTTAAAACACAGTTGTGGTTTTCCTGATTCTTAAAAGCATAGTTTCATTAATTCCACAGATAAGATTTTACAGGATATAGCATCTTGATTTTTCATAATAGTATATTCTTCCTTGTCTTTGTAATTTTATTGTCCTGCCAATTTATATATGTTCTTCACTTTTGGGTATTTAAAGCCTGTATTTCCCTCTCCTTTGCAGAATTAACGAAAAAACTAATCTTTCCTTCGCCTACCAGAATGGATCAGATTTTTTTTTTTATGCTTTTATACTATCTCTCTGTTCCTAACAGCCACCACAGATGTGACATGACAGTTGTATTGAAAATGGTTAGATGAAAGCCTATACCCTATTCCCTTACTGTGAGTTACAGTGGAAGTACAGGTTCACTGTGATGCCCTTGGTTGCACCTGTTAGTAATGGGAAGAATTTAAAAATTGCCTCAATTATTAGTGGGAAGCTTTTCCCTGTAAATGAAAGGAAGTCCAAATTACCATTGTTCGAATTTTGTAAAGCTAAAAAGTGGGTCTTTAGAAGAGAGTTATGTTGCAGTGAGAATGTAAGTGATGCCCTGTGTGTTGCAGAGTGGCTCTACAAGTGCTCTGTTCAGAAGCTGGTGGTGGTCATCTCAAATATTGAAAGTGGTGAGGTCCTTGAAAGATGGCAGTTTGATATTGAGTGTGACAAGACTGCAAAAGAAGATGGGTAAGTTTGGATTAAATTATTCCTGCTTGGTTTTTCACAGCTTCTGTTGTTACATGAGTTCAAATTGTTTTGGACTGATTTCTTACCCTCTTTATTTATGGTAAGCTTTTAAAGATACAGGCTTGGGAGGACTTGAGTTCCTCTTAGCCTGTCAGTGGTTGTATAGATAAGATGCTTTTAACATTCTGTCTTTAGGCAAACCCAGTGAAATTTGACCTTTGTATTTCTGGTTATACCAAAACCATGATATAATATATTATGGGGACTATTTAATACTCGCTTAAAGGTACTGTTAACTGCAGGAAGTGAGCCTAGACCCGTCCCTAACTTAGATGTGGCTCTATTCCATCTAATGCCGTGAACTTTGTAAACTGTAAGATTTCAGTTGCTCTACATCAGAAATTTCCTTAATGCTAGACACACTTTTCTATAAGTTCCTATAATGAAGAGCAGTTTGCTCTTTTGTCTGTAGGAAATTTTTAGCTTATGGAAGTTTTTATGTGTAATTTATTTTACTTGATTTGATAAGGAATTAGGTACTTAGATGTTACTAGAAGAAAAAGTGCCAAAATTCTACCAAGTTTCTGTGTTAGAATCCATATCCTGAAAGAGTTAGTGAACCTGTCGTTATCGGGGTGGTTGAGAAACTTAGTAATCGTCATGCACTGAATGACCTGACACTAAATTCAGTCCTGAAGGATGATGGGAAGGACAGATGCAGATACAGTAGCCCAAGAATATCTTTAGTCTCCTAATATATTGCTTCTGTGCTGTTGGGAGCATTTTGTTCAGATAAATAGTCACCAGTGTATTTTAGTTAACTTAATGAAACCTAGAATGAACTGTTTGGTTCTCTTATAGTGTTTGTAGAGAAAAGTCACACAAAGCCATTCAAGATGAAATCCGTTCAGTGATCAGGCAAATCACAGCTACCGTGACCTTTCTGCCACTGCTGGAAGTTTCTTGTAAGTATTATACAATCTCTTTATTTAAATTTGCGTGGGAAAATGTATGCTGCTGTTGGGAGGATCCCCATTTGTTTAAACCTCATAATTTATCACTGCCTTTAAATATAAATGGGATACAGGAAGCAGAATGCAGCACAAAAAACAGATGTGTGTTCCAGAAAATGTGAGTGCAAGGACCGAGGAAGTGGCTTAGTGGTTAAAGCACTTGCTGAGCAAGTGTGAGGACTCAGTTAGGATCCCCACTTCCAGGACCCTCCAGGTGGTTTTGGGCGCCCACCTCTAACTCCAGCCCAGAAAGGCAGAGATGGAATCACCCAAGCAACCTGGCTACCAAAACTAGCCATCTTGTCAGTCTCTGGTTTGCATGAGAAGCCCTGCCTCGGTGAATGAAGTGGAGGGGTCATCAGTCATTAGCTTGGGGCCTCCACATGTGCGCCCCACACACTCAACAAAATGAAGGGGAACAATGAAAATGCTGAAAAATTAAGATAGTCTACAGTTCTACGTGAAAGCTTTCTCACAATTCCTTTTACTATTTTCACTTTCTACTACAAAGTATACTCCTCTGTTCTAAACTCATGTTTTCTTGAGGAAAATTATAATTAGAGCAAGATAAGCTATCTCCTTAGGAGGTAGGGTTCAAATGAGTCCTGGTGAGCTAGGTGGGGAGGACAGCTTCATTTTTAAAAAGTACTGTGCTTTAATCTCATTCCCAACTTAGGTTCATTTGATCTGCTGATTTACACTGACAAAGATTTGGTTGTCCCTGAAAAGTGGGAAGAATCAGGACCCCAGTTCATTACCAATTCTGAAGAAGTCCGTCTGCGCTCATTTACTACCACAATCCACAAAGTGAATAGTATGGTGGCCTACAAAATCCCTGTCAATGACTGAAGAGAAGGTGAGGAAACAATGGAATTAGCATTCTCTAGTGTCTTTTTCCAGATACCGAGTCAAATATAGTTGATGAATTTTCTTCCCTTGGTTCATTTTCAGGTGAAGAAAGCCAGGATCCTACTTTGATAAATGTGCCCATGGTTCCATTTGTTGGGTTCCTCCTGGACTTGCCATAGAGTCAACATAACAAGATTGCTGCAAATTATTAAGGGGAACCAACAGATTTTGTCAGAATTGTGGAGTGGATTCCTGTAGAAGTGGTCATTGTAGATAGAAATTCTTTTGTTAGAAAGCTAAATACATCCCCTAACCAGTTAGCTCAGGAATCTTGACCAGAGAAGCATCTGAATGTAAATACAGCAGAAGGAACTAAAGCTGTGTTTAGTTCTGAGTCATGAATACTGCCTTGCTGGGCCCATTTGTCACTTCTTTTTGTATAGACTCACATTGAAATACATGCTAATTGATTTCAGTGTATATACCTTGAACTCACAAAGCAGTTGATACTGTTTAATTTCTGTAATAAAGAACTCTTGTTTTAATGTTTCATAAAAAAAAAATCAAGCTTTAAATGACAGTGATACAACAAAAAAACTCCTGTGTCTTAAAATTTTTGTTATAGTACCTTTGGTAAATAGTGTGGTGTTATTATATTCAGATACTACAGTAGATTATGTGCTGCCTTCATCTCAAACAATGCAGTTAATGTGAAGAGGCAAATGTCCTTTGAAATTAGTGCAGATATCAGGCTGTAGTATCACTGGTGTTGGTTTTTTTTTTTTCCTGTTGTATACATCTAATCAAAAATTGTCATATCAGCATAATTTAATGACATTTCAAGTAAAAACTGAAATGCGTAAAAGACATTGTCAAATATTGTCTGTGCTAGCAATTTAATGATTAGGCGGACTCCAGTGACATTCCTGCTGTGGAGAAACAAATTGGCATGAGAATAGGACATTGCTTTTGGTAAGTTTCAAGTTTTTTCCTTTCCATAAACTTTGTTTCCTCTTGATTAACATGTACTAACAATAGCAAACAAGTTTAGAGTGTTTGTCAGGCAGCAAGACATTTGTGAACATACTTACAGATTTAACTACCCTGGACACCAGACTTCAAGACACATATTATCATTAATTCCCCGTCACAGGAAACATGCCATGCCAAGGGCTCAAGTCCAGAGCCATGTAACTCAGAGCACAGATCAAGTTTAAGCCTAGGCAGGTGTGGCATGCCATTCTATTTCTCTAACACAGCAAAGGACTGCAGTGTCAGGAGGGAATGGGTGAGAGGAACAGCCAAATACAGTTACTATATTAAGGGTGCAGACACCATGGCAGTGCGCTTGCAGGGCTGATGGTTTTCTTGTTTTGTTTTGTTTTGTTTTTCGAGACAGGGTTTCTCTGTGTAGCTTTGGAACCTGTCCTAGAACTAGCTCTTGTAGACCAGGCTTGTCTCCAACTCACAGAGATCCACCTGCCTCTGCCTCCTGAGTGCTGGGATTAAAGGTGTGTGCCACCAACACCTGGCAGGGCTGATGGTTTTCTTAAAGAATCAAATAAATACAATTGGCTGTGTTCTTTTGTCTTCTGCACATCAGCTAAAATAGGATCAAAACAAAACACTTCTGATTAACATGATTTTAAGTAACTAGTTTAAGAACAAAAGTATAGCTGTGCTGCCCAATAAATAAGCTCCCTTTAAATTGAACCTGATTTATTTTAACAAGTCTGATTTATTTTAACAACCTGATTTATTTTAACAAGAATGCTCCCTGAATCTGGAACCATCTGTACACACACGTGCTTGTGAATGTATACATTAAATCACACATATTGTGAATGGTGGTGACTTGCTATTGGGATGGATTTTATCTGGAATAATTATCCAAAAATGTTGAGCTAAGAAGGGCAGACAAAGAGTTAAGCAATATTAAAGTAAAGGTAATTTTTGACTAAAAAATGAGCTGGCCTTTTAAACATTCAGTTAACAACCATAACATTTACTTTCTCTAGCAAAGGGGCCCAATATCTTTGAACTTGAATTCTATAAGGTAAATCTGAGTTCCTCCCCTCAACCAATCAACTATTTATTTCTGCTCCTCTTCATTAATAAGTTATACATTTGGATGCTAATTTCCTTTGTACAAACTACACCCTGTTTTCTGGATTGTAACACTTAAATAGACACTGATGGAACCAGCACCTTCAAACAGGATGATCCAGGAATGCAGCAGGTTTTTGAGCTACTCAGAGAAGTCCTGCCTTTGTTAACAGCTCATCAGAAGTGCTTTCCTCTGTCTCTCTTCATTCTCATGTTTGTGAAGTAAACTGTCATTTATCCATTCATTCCCAGAATGGCAGAGATCCCTTGCTATACAGACTACATAGCAATCTGCATTATTTGCTTGTGCAGGAGAGGCATCTACTAGCCACTACTGCCATCTGCTGGTCTTTCTGTGAATAGTTAGATTTTACAGGGGCCATCACAATGATGCAGAATGCAAATATCATCAGTAAGTAGTATCAGATCCTGTATTTCCTTGAAAATTAAGATACTACACAGCACAGTGATAAGTACAGGACCAGCAGTGATGAATGGGAAGCTGATCATGGCACTCAGCAAGTGGTTGGCTATGAACCAGCAGCAGGTGGCAATGGCCCACAGCAACCCTGACAGGAAACCTGGTAAGACCGCCTCTGGATACAGCTTCAGCCTATTTCATGGCTACACAACAGGTCACAAAGTAGACTGTACTTGTAAGAAAGATGCCACTGGAGTGTGCAAAAACATATTCTTAAATCATACTGACTAGCACCTGTGTATATGCTGTCATTTCTTTTCCTGTGGTCCTTGATGTAAATGATTGGCACAAATGTAGATCTATAGAGTATCCCAGATACCACTGCAGGGCAACAGCCCACAGTGCAGTGGTGCGTAGTAGAAAGTGTCCACCTAGGAGGAAACGGCACAGGGGTCTCCAGTTGTGTTGATCACAGGCTCTGTCATCAGTGTGTTGTCCATGCTGCATGGGTTATTCAGAAATTCACTTTTGGTGAACAAAACTGTGAAAGCAGTTGCTACTGAGAGCCCAGCTCCAAAGTAATTCAGGATGGTGCTTGATACTTCTGTATCCATCCCAATCCAGCCAAACCTTGAGCTTGCCCAGCCAGTTAAGGTATTAAATGATCCCCAGATGAGGGTCCCAAGACATAAACCGATGCTTTTGATAATTGTTCCCTGTTGCTGAAATGCAGCCACTGAGCATTGCAAAAGGCCAGAATTTAGGGCAGCATAATATCAAGTAGACCACCATGGCAACCAATCAAAAGGCAGCACGGATCACTTACTGAAGGAACATTCCATCACCGTTGTCATTTTTTTTTTTTTTTTTTTAAAGCGGTACAAAGTTGGAGCCAAACAAAAGAATTGCTACAGCAGAGAAGAGTAGCCTGTGGTAAGTTTGTTCCATTATTGCCCATGGTAGCAGGAATGGCAGACAGGCCAACTCACTCAGTTTGCTCTGAGAGTTTTCCCAAGGAGTGACAGTCTTCAGACACAGGTGACCTGGTGGGTAGTCACTGTGCTGGCTGCAGAGCCCAGCCCGGCTCTTCCTAGCATCTCCTGTACTCTAGATAGTGTCAACCTCATGTTTCTTATGACCTTGAGCACCAAGCTGCTTCCTTTCTCTTCAGTGCTACTCTTAATAGGTATGTTGGTTGTATTCAGTCTAATTTTCCAATGTTTAAAATTTTCCAGAAAAGTGACAGCTTTGTTTATAATAATTTTGAAGTTTATAACTAAATTATGTAAAATCACATTCTTAGAAGTTGATCGGATACCTTAAACATTTCATATCTCTTAAAGGTTTTATATTATTTAAATATATGTTTTGGTGTGTAATAAGGAGGCAAGCTGACTCTGTTGGAAATTAGTTGGAATGATTTGGCCTATGGTTCCAAATAGATGCGTGCCTCATCTTGGGAGAAAGGGATTCCATCCAACAGCCAAAAACTTGGCCACCAGCTTCTTGTGGGAAGTGAAGATGGAGCAATCACCTGGTGGGTCTCTGGGTCAGACCTGAACTCTCACCCATTTACTGTAGGCCTAGAGGCTGTACTGAATTGTGCAGTGGGATATCTTTGTTCAGTGTGGTTTGTTCTTGTTATTTAGAGTTTTTAAAATATTTATAAAATATTTTAACCTTGTTTACTTAGTTTCATGATGCATTTTCAAATTTTGTGTTCCTCAATTTATTCTCCTGGCCGAGGCCTGAGGCCTGAGGCCTGAGCTTTTGTCAGCAGAGGGCAGCCAAGACATTTGTCAGGGTCACCTTCACTTTGTGGAGACAAGTTTCCCAGATTGACAGTAGAATGGGGTAGAGGCTAGATGGAGCACTGAGCAGAAATAGTCAAAAGGGAAGATTGACGGTCTACCATAGAGAGAACAAGTAAATACACCTTCCCTGCACCTGCCCAGTTTTCAGTCCTCAGCCCTACCAAGGGGAAGTCCAAGGCTTGGGGGCCTGGAGTCCACTGTCAATCAAAGGAGCTGCTGGGAACTCAGGCCTGGAACTGAGGACATGCTGCCAACAGTGATCAAAGGTTCACAGCCAGAGAGAGGAAGGGGGTGAGCACCAAGGACAAGCTTGCTTTCTGTGTAGGTATTTATTATTCCAGAAGAAAATAAGAAACTAGAATTAAGGAAATAATTTTGGTTTTATGTCAAATATTAAACATTTAAAGTTGGCTTCACTGGCTTACAATCATCTCTTGAACTTGATGTTGGATAAAAAACATGTTTCAACAACAAAAGTCAAGTGATCCAATTTGTCTTAAGGATTACAATTCCTAAACCCTGTTTCAGGTCACGGGGGACTGTACAACTCTTCTGTGTAGAGCCTCTTATATTTGTAATTGTTAAGACTCACTTTGTTACCTCCATGAACTAGCTCCCTGTTGGAGTCTCTCCTGACTGTGTATGGACTCCATTTTCTCTGCAGCACAGCTAGCTGTTCCCTGAGGTTCTGTCTAGGGGATTAAATGAAAAAAAAAAAGTGTTCCTTCAGACTCCTGAGTTCCTGTGTTAATATCTGTCTTTTCCCTACCATGAAAAAATATTGAAAAGATGACTATTAACAAACTAGACAGTGGCCCACACCAGAATCCAGACATGGGGCTGCTTCTAGTCTCCACGGTGTAAGAAACAATATCTGTTCCATTATCAGATACTGGGGTATTTTGTTACTGCAGATAGAGCTGACCAACAATCAGTGTCAGTCAGTCATCCATGGAAAGCTATTTATAGGCCAGGCAGTAGTGACGAATGCCTTTAGCACTCAGGAAGCAGAGACAGGCAGATCTCTGAGTTTGAGGCCAGCTTGGTCTACAGTGACTTCCAGGACAGGCTCCAAAGCTACAGAGAAACCCTGTCACAGCAAAAAACAAACAAAACCCCAGCTATTTCTAAAAGAAATAATAATGGGAGGCTGGAGAGATGGCTCAGTAAGAGCACGAGCTCTTGCAGAAGACCTGTGTTTAATCCCCATCACCTGCATGGTGGCTCACAACCCTCTATAACTCCACTTCCAGAAGAACCAGTGTCTTGCTTGCCCCCACGTGGTAGTGCAGTCATCCATCCACACACTTATAAAAAGAAAAAAAAAAAACAATTTTTTTTTTCATTTGAATTAGAAACAAGATTGTTTTACAGGTCAATGCCAGTTCCCTCTCCCCTACCCCCGCCCAACTAAAATCCTACCTATCCCATACCCTTTCTGCTCCCCAGGGAGGGTGAGGCCTTCCATAGGGTGTCTTCAGAGTCTGTCATATCCTTTGGGATAGGACCTAGGCCCACCCTCGTGTGTCTAGGCTCAGGGAGTATCCCTCTATGTGGAATGGGCTCCCAACGTCCATTCTTATGCTAGGGATAAGTATTGATCTACTACAGGAGGAACCATAGATTTCCAAGGTCGTCTCACTGACACCCACATTCAGGGGGTCTGGATCAGTCCCATGCTGGTTTCCCAGCTATCAGTCTAAGGATCAAGGGCTCTCCCTTGTTCAGGTCAGCTGTTTCTGTGGGTTTCACCAGCCTGGTCTGCACCCCTTTGCTCATCGCTCTTTCTTCTCTGCAACTGGATTTTTTTTCATTGATTAGCTGTGGGTGTCTGCTTCTACTTCCACCAGCTTCTGGATGAAGACTCAAGGATGGCATATAAGTCAGTCATCAATCTCATTATCAGGGGAGGGCATTTAAGGTAGCCTCTGTTGCTTAGATTAAAAACAAGAATTTTTACAAACCTTTTCTTTTTCTTTACTGAAGGAAAATGCACCCAATATAAATTTAACTTTGTTTCCTTATATTTTAGACTTCTTGAGACAAAGTCTCCCACTGTAACCCAGTGTGGTTTTGAAATTCATGTAGCACAGGCTGTTCCAGAATTTTCGACCTCTCCTAATCCAGCCTTGCTAGTGCTGGATTTGCAGGCATGAACTACCAGGCATTGGTATTCCCTGCTTTCTGATACAGCTGGTCACACTACATACGCTGATAATGCTGTGCTGCTGTCCCCGCCATCCATTCCCATATACTGCTTCTTGTAAAACTCTTCCTGGAACAGTATGTTCCTGCTGCTCCTCCCTGAATCTGGAAGCTGACTCTGTCTCTCGTTTTGACTATTTCTAAGTATCCCATACAAATGAAATCACACTATTGGTCAGTTTGTCTATGTTTTATTATCCTGGTGTCCTCAGGTTTTACCCATATATCTCAGAATTCCCTTTTCAACTAGTAATATACTGTGTGTGTATAAACCACACTTTGTTTATCTGTTTCTCCATTTGTAAATGCTTAGGATGCTTCCATGTTTCAGCTAGTGTGAATAATGCAGTTGTGATTGTGGGTATGCATATATTTTGAGTTCAGGCTTTCAGTCATTTGGAGGATATACCCAAATGCACTGCAGGATTGTATAAAAATTTTGTTTTTTAATTTTTTGAGGAACCAGCATACTGTTTTCTGCAACAGTTTTTATTTTTAAGAACAGTCATATATATCACAACATAGCCAATTTATAGGTAAATTTCACTTTTCGTCTCTTCAACACATTAGCACTGGTAAGATGATGTGTATATGTGCCTCTTATTGGTTGACCAATAAAACACTGATTGCCTGGCAGACAATACAGGCAGGGCTCCCAGACGAGAATTCTGGAGAAAGGAGTCTTAGCATTCCAGAGGCAGAGGCAGGAGGAGCTCTCTGAGTATGAGGTCAGCCTGGTCTATGTAGAAGACCCTGTGTCTCAAAAGTTGAAAGAAAAGAAAGAGAAGGAAGGAAAGAGGGAGGGGGAGAAGGAAGGGAAGGAAGGAAGGAAGGAAGGAAGGAAGGAAGGAAGGAATAAAATTCCCTAAACCTCATAGTCTTAGCCAAGTATAAGAATCAGCTGGCAGCACCTCTTAAGATGGCAGGCTTCCTGGATCTGATGAATTACTAGACCTGTCAGGTGGGAGGTAGAAAATTCTTCCAAAGGACTTTTAATGCCTAGCAGGATTTATTAGCAGTGAATAGATTCTAGAAGCACAGAGGTCCCTAGCTTCTCTGAAGGCAGGAATGGGAGAGTGGGCCTGCTATACTCTGGGATTAGGAAAAGTACAGAGATGAGACTGCTAGCATTTCAGACCTTAAGTGGATCCTCAGAGACTTGATGTAAGAGCTGTGTTACCCAGTGAGCTTGTCCCTTTACAGGTTTCTATCTGTGTACAAAATTTGCTTGAGATAATTGGAGAACCACTAGAGACCCAAAGTTCAAACATAAAACTCCATAACAGCCACCAGAAAACATAGTGGAAGCACTTTACGGTATTGGTACAGACATTAGTTTTTGGACAGGACTCCAGGGCACAGCAAAGCCTGGCAAATAGCATTACATCAAACCCTAGCACAGCAAAGGGGATAACTACCACAATGAAAAACATACCCTACAGAATAGAGGAACTTATTTGTCAGTGTTTATTTCGGTAGAAATTGTGAAGGTTGGTTTAACAGCAACTTGCAGAAAATTAGAATCACCTGAGTAAGTGTCATCGCTGCATGTCCTGCCTAAACAACAGAATACACAGCTCAGGGTATGGTTATTTGATGTTTCAAATATAGAAGGGGTATCATTGGAAAGGACGTCTTTTGCCTTCTCCCCCTCTTTTTGATTTGGTATAGAAAACTTTGAACAATAACCATGGGTGATTTAGTATTCAATGGATGTTTTTCTGACTCTATCTCGTCGTCTTTTGTCTGTTTCTTTCCTCAATTAGCACTTCCCTTCTCACATACCAACCCAGATTAGCTGGCAGGACCACACACTTCCTGCTAATTACTACTTTCCTTTCAAGTCAACACATAGTGCTTTTTTTTTTTTTTTTTTTTTTTTTTTTTTTTTTTTTTTTTTTGTCCCTATTTCATTTGACAAAATCATGTGGTTCTATTCATTTTATTGCAAATGACAGATTTCACTCTTTATGGGTAATATCACACAGTACTCATAGTTTTAATTTGCATTTCTGTGATGACTGAAGATTTAGACTTTTTCATGTATTTGACACCTTAGGCCAAACATGCTGTTGCAGCTACATCTTAGGCCAGACATCTTTGTTGTTTCACCTGGAAAGAGCAAGGGCAGGTTAAAAAATCTCTGACCTTAAGTCAAAATGGAATGGAGTCAATTCTGTGGGCTCCCACAGGGAAGGGTGCTGAGGGAGGGTAGAGAAAAAGGAGAAGGGCTTATTTGACTAACACAGTATGTATAGAAGTACCGTAATGAGTAAATATGTTTCAAAAGCTAAATGTCTCTCAAGGTGTCCACCACATCACTCTGATCATTTGGTTTTAAGATAAAAATCTATAAGGACCAAGCCTCTACCTGCCTTTGCAACATCATTTTACTGTCTGCACCCTTTGTTAGTGTTCCTCATCCTGGTGAACTGAATGTTATATATTGAAATTCTGTGCCTCCTACATAAAACTGAAAACTGAACCTACTTTATTATTTAAACATTAACTGTTCCTCTCCTCCATTATGTACTCAACTATTATGGAACTCAAAATCATTATTGTGCCACTGACAGCATTAGTTTACTTTTTAAATATTTATTTTTAAGCATGTTTGGCTATATGCCATGTGTGCCCATGTGTGGCTCTGGCTGAGTGCAAGTATCCTG